TTGGAGGGTGGGGGTGGTGGGGGGGGTGCGCTTTAATGTTATCTGTGCGCAGATAGCGGACCGGTGACCCCGGGGGTGCGCAAAGTTCCCGGCCTGATTAACCCCGGCAGAGCCGCACGGGAGCAAAGGTTAACCGGCCTAATCAACTTCAAGAGGGCGACTCAGTCAGATCATCAACTACATGGGACACTTCCACACATAGTGAAAAAGACACACACACGCAGGTAAAGACATTCAGGAAAGTGTGATTATGATTATCATCATTTTTAGGAGTATTTGGATGACTTGCATTGCTCTAAAACTCTCCTTAAATCCACCCGGTGACATTTCTCATTAGTTCTGTTTGCTACGCACCGACTGGTTCACGTAAACATCAAAACGCTGACAATGAGGAGAATGTCATATGCAGCCTGCTTTGCATGAATAAAGGAGCCCTGCAATAAGTCTCAAATGTTATGTTTTTTTATTGCACATTATGTCACATTTTCTGGACAGTTTAGGATGATTATGATGACTACAAATATTTAATAAGGTGCACATTTACGGTGTATGATCGCATGGACAATTCTAAATCCGTTCAAAATATGAAGGGCTGCGAAGATCTATTTCGGTGAGCAAAGGAGGTTAAATGAAGCTTTGTCGTCTTTTTAAAGGCAGAATTATTGTGTTGGACATATCGGAGGTTGTCATCGTGGGCGTACCTAATGTTCTGGCCTGTACTCATACACACCTCTTCAAATTAGGCTCGCTTTTTATTGCCTTATTGTTTTAGTGGTCACATCTCAAGTGCAGCGTGTGTGTGTGTTTGATCTTTACATATGCAATCGCGCGTGCAAAAAAATAAATAAATAAATAAGCAACGCGTGTGTGTGTGTGTGTGTGGGTGGGTGTGTGTGTGTGTGTGTGCGTGTGTGTGTGCGCGCGTGTGTGTGCGCGCGCGCGTTGAAGATCCATTCATAAAGTTGTATTCCCTCACTCATGCGCGCAGGCGCACGTGCCTTCAGAGTCGCGTTTGCCAGTGACAGATGACGGTGGCAATTTGCACAGATAGAGATCAATTTGTCTCAATGATCACTCTTTAGGCCCACTGCCAGCCTGTTCGTTGGAATCAGCAGTTTTTTTTTAGGGGGGAGGGGGGGTGTTACAAAGGAGAGCTGGAAAGCAGTGGTGAGAAGTAATCAAGTACAACTACTTGGTTGCTGAACTTCAGAAGATTTTTTTTTCAAGGGGGATTCATTCCTCTCACTTTTTTTCTTGTGTACTTTTCTTGAAATAAAGGAGAGTTGAAGAGTGGGGGATGAGTGGTGAGCACGTCCCGGTGCTATGGGTGTGGGTTTGAATCCAGTCTGTGGCCTTCCTGAGTGGAATTTGCACGTTCGTCAGAGTGCACCGGCATCCTCCCACATTGCCAAAATGTGAAAGAAAAGAAAAAGTGAGACTCCCAATTGTCCGTAGGTGTGATTGTGAAGGGTGAATGGTTCTTTGTCTACATGACCAGTCCAGAGTGTACCCAACCTCTCGCCCCAAAGTCAGCTGGGATAGACTCCAGCACGCCCGCCACCGGAGTGAGGAGAAGCACAATGGATGAAGTCAACGACTTGAATCAGTACTTCCACCAGCTTTTAATTATTTTTCATCATTTATTTGTATGTGTATTTGTACATACGATAAAGGACAGCACGTGAGTATTTTTGCCCCCACTGCTGTCAAGCCAGACCCCCCCCCCCCCCCCCCCCCCCGCCCCTCCCTCAGAAATGAGCTGCGGCGGCTGGAGTAGCCTCGGGTCGAACTGTGCATACAAATTTTTCTTCTACTTCTTCTGAGGTGTCCGTTGTCCGGCAGACGGCGTATCGAATGACACAAAATCGTGCAATCGAGTGTTGGATTGTGTTTCCAAACCGGCGAGGTTGGTAATCCAGTCATTTTTTTTCCACCCTATTTTGTTTATTGATGCAATACAAGAATTGAAAGGATCACAAAAATATGCCTTGACAAGGACACATGCTCAGTTTTAAGAACTAAGTACCACACACTACATTTTTATGTATTCATCTTGGATAGGTTATATTTTATTTTTCTGATGGTTTTTTTTTTTTGGTGATGTCTACAGTTGAAAATTATTTGACTTATTCACGATATGCATATTAATTCCTTTTTTTCAGATGAGCTTCTTTTCACAAATTATCCATCCATGCATCCATCTATCGATCTCGTAGCTTCCTTGCAATTTCAAAGTCACTTGAGAGCATTTCAAAAGCACGAGTGAAGCATTTTTGCTGATTTGGATGGCTGAAATAAAAAATCACTTTCAACCAAATGCCCGTCTGTCATTCCTGCAAATCTCCGTGTTTTGTCGAACTGCGTTTCGCAATTCAACAGAAGGCTGTGTAAAATCTGTTCTGCTGGTTAATTTAGGTTACGAACTACATCTTTATGACTGTCTAGTTTTCAGTGCGACATATTCCCAACGTGAAGTTTGTTTCACAGATCGACACGTGCGCCGCCTTGGAAGTGAAGGTAAAAAAAGAATCTGTTGATGGAGAGTCCAGTTTTTCTTGGGTAAAGGCAAGAAGAAGCATGACTTCTTAGGAGGCCACGCAGAAAATACAATACAACATCACGCAAGAAGACTCGCAAGATGGTATTGTTGACTCGTGCGTCATGACTGATTTGACATTTTTTGAATCTTGTAACGACACAGAACTGTACAAAAAAATACTGCAAGAGACCCATTTGATTATCCGTTCTCATTCTTCTGCATAAAATGAACTACGAATGAAACAGAATGACTTATAGAGGGGATACACTCATTTAGAATCGAAAACTGAACATCCATCGCATGCCCTTTTCATTGCCAATCCTTGAAATGATCGTCAAACTTTGACTTGAAGCTTGATGCCAACATTGGAGGGCAAAGCAAAAAAAGTTTCACGTTGCCCCTCTGTCTAGGATACCTGCTTCTGATTAGGACTCATTTGGAGGAGTCCGAGTCAATATATTTATTCCTGGATTTTGCCACAAATGGCAGCTTTAAGTCAAAATGGCGGACTTATTGATCCATATCCAGGCATGGATCCATGAGACTTTATTCATGGATCTGTCATGACAGACATGTTCATTCAAATATATTGGCGATTGCCTAATCGGCTTCCAATCGGGGTTCATCTGGACGAAATTCGTAGAATTTTTTTTTTATTTGTTTTTTGTCGTAATATGTTCGACACCTCCATTTAATTTCGTGTCCACTTATGCAATTGGTGTTGGGAGGTCATTTTTGTCAACTTTCCAGGGGGCGCTACTGAGAGTTTCCCCCCCCCTCGGTAATAATGGCGAAATCCATCCAGCTTCACCTGAACACACACGAAACATGGTTGAGTCCTTAGGCAGTCTGAGCCCTCCAAAACACGAGTCATTCTTCGAAAGAATAATAAACAACAATTACAAGAGGGCCCCTAAACAGAAGATGATGAAATAACAACAAAAGCCCATGTTGGTTTGTCCGCCTGAACGAGCAGGCGAAAAGCTGTAAACGGCGGCGGTGGAAAAGCGGCGCAGAAAGGCGAGCCGCTGACTGGATGATGGCATTATAAACGGGTGTAATGTTCACAACAAGAGCAGCAGCAGGCAGAGGAATACGCGCCCTCGGGCCAAAGGCATGAAAGCGAAGGCGGCCACACATTGTGCTGTGATAGAGCCGAGAGCACTCGTCTGGCTTTGCTTCCAAAGTATCAAGAGGAATTTTTTTCGACGAGACGAGGTAAAAAAAAAAAAAAAAAAAAAAAAAGAAAAAGAAATAAGAGCCGCAGGGGTTTGGTGAGCTTGCTCGGTTGTTTTGCTCTTGTGACGCTGAAAGTTGTGACGATCTAGTGACACGTAAAGTGTAAAGATGTGATTCATGCCGACTCTTATCTGCGCAAAAAGTACAACACATAAATCATTTAGAGGGGTTCTTACCACCGCTGTTCTGAGGCATTTTTCTGTCCGCCGCTAATTGCTAATTGACCGGTCGCACCGCTCAACATTAATTTTTTCTTTTTTCTTTTAAGCAGAGATGCAAGTAAAACATTGAGATGAGTTTTTAGATTTAAAATTAAATATCCCAAAAAAACCCAAAAATGAGCTGGCAAAAATCCAAAGACGTTTTTGAAATCAGCATGCATCAAATATACACTTAGGGCACATCAAATTTGCTGTTGACGGGTGTTATTATAGCGGCAGAAGAGTAAAATTGGCTAGCGTGAGTGGCATCATGTATCGAGCAAAAGTGCAATGTATGTGTCCATGTATAGTGACAAAGTGCTTGCATGTAGTGCGGGATGGGGGGGATCACATGGAAGTGAAAAATAAACCCAGTTTTTCTGCGCAAGTTGCCGTGAGCAACGTTTGCTCGGAAGAAACCAAATGCTTGCTCAATGACATGTCGGAAACTTGAGACCTCCCCAAACATGTTTGCCAGCTATTAGTGTGACAGTGAATGACAGGAAGTCATCTTATGTCACTTTATTCCCAAATGAGTTCTTGACATTTTGGCATGGGGTAAGGTACTCAAAGAGATCAATGACAGTTTAGTAGAATTAAGGGAGGGAGGGGGGGTGGGATAGGTGTAGATGTGAGTGTTCAAAGAGATCAATGACAGTTTAGTAGAATTAAGGGGGCGGGGAAAAATAGGTGTAGATGTGAGTGCGGATGGTTGTTAGTCTTGCCTTGCGATTGGCCGGCGACCAGTTCAGGGTGTGTCTCGCTTCTCGCCCGAAGTCATCTGGGATCGGCTCCAGCTCATCCGCAATCCTAATGAGGACGTCTGCAATCGAAATCGGGATGAATGGATGGATTAAACGACGGGTTGATGAAGTAGGATGATGAAATTAATTAGCGACACTGTAATACAATTTCTGGCCCATCTGTCCGTAAGTAAAAGTCTAATGAAATTTCAATGCAAATTTTCCCTTTTGAGACTTTCTTTGATCTGAAATGATCATTCAAAGCACTTCCGGAAGTCAAAGTGGATCAAAATATGAAGATTGCGACACAAACTACTCGACAAAAGGCGCGCTACAGTGAGACCACTTCTTTGTTTTTGCCGTCAACTGCAAATGTTTGTGTTTGAAATCAATGGAGGGAAACTAAAATCTAGCTTCAGCTCATAAAAAATGCTTCCACACTGAACAATCCGTTCTGCTTTCCACTGCAAAACATCTTTTGATCGTGAGTCAAATAGATACACCCCTTACATACACACGTAAACATAACTAAATATGGCCTCTCAAGCATCTAAAATCGACCACAAAAGCAGTCGATTCTTCACTTTGTTCCAAAACTCCCCCAAAAAGTGAAAAAAGTCATATCAGGACAAGCCTAGAGCTGGGGCTGCTTTGCTATACCAGGCACCGGATGCCTTCAAATCTGTGCAAGACCGTCGAGACATTCTGGAGAGAAATGTGCTGTCTCGTGTCCGAAATCCTGGTCAGTCAGTTTCATTGAGCTTCCAACAACAAAAAAAAGACCCAAAACACACCGCTGAAAAATCACAAGAATGGCTGAGAGTAAAACCAGAAGATGGTCCTGTTGATTCTGAAGTGACCCACTATGAGCCCTGATCTAAATCCTATTGAACATCTGCAGAAGGCGCCGAAACATGCCGTCTGGAGAAAGCACCCATCAAACCTCAGACAAGTGCAGCGCTCAAAGTACCTGGTGACAGCAGCAGAAGTCACATTGACAGCAAAAGCGTTTGATTGTCGCGATGGCCTCAAAAAGATGCGCAACACAATATAAAGTTAAGGGTCCCATCATTTTTTTTATCCCGGGCAGTTTCACTTTTATCAATTTTGTGTCATTTCA